CAACACCGAGGGTTGCAATCCCGTTGCCGGTCCCCGGTCCGGTACGGGGGCAACACTGAGGGTTGCGATCCGTTGCCGGACACGGAAAAAGACAAAAAAAAGACAAAAAAAAAAAAAAAAAGATTAGCAAAGGCTTGTTTTTTCAGTTATCATATTCGCAACTTCCTACTTATGGATTCTTCCTGTCCGCTCCCAGGTGGACACTAAATATGGAGGTTTTGGACAGGGGATATTTTCCTACCCAGAACCACGCTGAGAGAACCAGCCCATTCCAAGCACACACAGACTTTCTACCCTCAAGGAGCGCTGGCCAGGGAAACAGTGCCCTGTGCAGCTTTCTGCTTACCTGAGACACCTCTAAAACAGGATCCTGATGACCTTCATCCATCTGGGCTATGGGTGCCCAGCAGTCTAAGGTGATCAGACTCTAAAACTTCACTGAAGGAAGGATGAATGGTGGACATGGTAGTAATGCTAGACAATTAGGTATTTGGAGCATGGGCTTTATGGGCTTTGGAGTCGAGCATCCTGAGTTTGAATCCCATCTCTGCCATTTAGGAGCTGCCCGACCGGGGCAAGCTGTTCCACCCGTCTGTGCATCACTTTCTTTGTTTGCAAAATGGGCATGATATCAGTATCAACCTTATAAAATTGTCGTGGGAACTGATGTTCAGTAAATGGGCCAACACCTGGTGCATACACAGTTAAGCGCTCAAGAATTGCTAGCTATTATGTTTCCTTATCTTTGGGTATACATATTTTAAACATTCTTCAAACAGTGTAATTCTTCTGATTGTTGTAAAATAATAGACTGCCATTTTAGGAGGGTGGACACTCCTAGCAGCGATGACATCTCATCCAGGTCAGTGCAGCCTGTTCCAAACAGATTCCTGCCTGTGTGTGCTGTGGCCCTGGCCGGGCAATGCCCTACACTGGCGGGCGGGGAAGACGATCTGCCTTGGCTGAAAGGTGCTGCCCATTGATTCTACAAACATTTACTGAGCACCCTTTTCCTCCTGCCCCTACCACAAGCCACATAAATGCACTTCCTTCTCTTCAAGGAGGTACCTTTATTGAGCACACAGATGGTCCCAGACCCTGGCCTAATTTGGTCATCACGGTGACCTCATGAGTAGAAGTTCTTATGTTTATTCTCTGAAAGAGGAAATGCCTAAAGTCACAGAGTGGGCAAAGGATGAAACTGAAATTTAGCCTAGATCTGCCTGGTCCTTTTAGGTGACATCTCCCATGAGTTCACGTTTCTACAGGGCACTTGGTCTCACTGCTCCATCCTACTCTGATTTAATACCAAGCCAGTAGTGTTACTGTGTCTCCACTGAGTGTGGATTGTCTGAGGAGACAAACACAGTGCTTGTCTTTGTTAATATTAGAGGATACTTTTTAAATATAAGAACATAACTCCATCTCTCGCATTGATATTTTCGTTCTTTTCTGTTGGGAAGCTGATAGGAGAGGAAATATCCAACTAGGATTCGTAGTTTCTTAAAATGACCTTGAAGTCTTCCATTTTGTTTGAAGAGGTATGGCAGGAAGATGGATTTACAAAGGGGTCCCCAGGGGTACTGCAGGAAGAATCATCAGAGAAGCTGACAGGAAAACAGCTGGAGTCAGGCAGCATTTAGCAAATAAGTCAGCCAGTGTGGGGAGGGGTCAGCATTCGATCAATGCCTGGAGACAGATGTCCCCATCCTCAAAGGGAGTCTTCTTCAAAAATCCCTTCTCTTGCAGGTGCTGGGGTGCTGCCTTGAATAAGACAGGCTAAGTCCCTGCCCTTGGTAACTCACTTTGGTGGGGCATCCAGACAGGAAACCGGGTGATGACTGCAGAGGCTGAGGATAGCTGTGGAAGGGACTCTTCTTGGTGCTGGGAGCCCAGGAAGGCTACGGGAAGATGGTGTGTCTCCACTGCGTGTGGAGAGGAGAGGAAGTAAGCCGGGCAGGGATGTGGGTGACTGGCGGGGCATTACAGGTGGAGGAAGTAGCCCACATGGAGGCCAAGGGTACACCGACTGCTGTTCTGAGCCCTACGGGGGGGCTCTCAGCCAGGGATGTATAGAGGATGAGGGCAGTGGTGGCCAGAGATGGTGCTGGGAGGGGTGGCAGGGGCTAGTGGAAGAAGGGCCGGTATGCCCCTCTATGGAGTTTGGACTTACCCAGTGAGAGATGTCCAGGTCTGGGAGGGGGTAGGCCAGTGAGGATGAGATTGGTGGGCGGGTTGGACAGCTTTAAGGGGGAACTTAGAGGATCTTTCTGAGTGGGGAGGGAGGGCCAGTACTAAGGTTTCTAGCAGCTTGGGGGATGGTGGCTCCGTGCCCTGATTTGGTGGATGCAGGAGGTGAATGCAGGAGGTGGAAGCATTTGAGAGTAGGGCATCCTGCAGAGACATCCTCATGGCAGTGGTCTGCGTCTGAGGTTCAGGAGAGCACTGGGTGCCCTGATTTGGTGGATGCAGGAGGTGAATGCAGGAGGTGGAAGCATTTGAGAGTGGGGCATCCTGCAGAGACATCCTCATGGCAGTGGTCTGCGTCTGAGGTTCAGGAGAGCACTGGGCTGAAAAGGGTAGATTGCAACATCATTTGCAAAAAGAAGCCATGGAAATGGATGAGACTGCCAGGGAGAGGTGGAGATTGGGTTGTGGAAGAAAGCATTTGGGGGATGCAAGTCACTCTTAACTCTTCATTGTATGTGGCCTCTCGCCTTCATTCCTTCTGGTTCTCACACCTGAGCACTGCCCTCCCCATACCCCTGGCCAAAGCCCCGCTTCCCTTATCCTTTCAAGAACAGCTGAAACCACCCTGCCTGGATGCAGCTTTCCAGAGTGACACGGCTCCTCTGGTCACCTGAAGCTGTCTGGGCACTTCTGGCTGCCTGCCCTGTAGTGAAGTTTTCTAGTGCTCTTTTCCCTCCCTGACCATGTGACAGCCTCCTGGAGGGCAGGGACAGAGCCTCGCTCATCTGCACTGCCTGTGCTTCGCAGTGTCTGGGGTCAATGAATGGACAGAGCAAATAAATTCAAGAACACTGCTGTTGACTCTGCCAATCCCACTTCCATAACTCAGTAGTAACAAGGCAGGCCTAGCACTTTTGTTTTTCAAATTTCCTTTCTGAAAATCCGGAAACAGTTCAAACATGCAGAAAAAGTACAGAGAATATGATAACACTCATGTCTCCCCTTCCACATTTGACACGCTGCTAACCTCCTCTACAAGTCAGCCTGTGGGAGAATATCCAGAATCAAAACAACTTAAGTCAAATGGATTTTCCCACAGAAACTAAGTTATGACACCAACTCAGATCTCTGACTGAGGGCATGGTGCCCATTTAAAAATTTTTTTAATGAGAGCAGTCACTGCATTTAACCAACAATACCATGTCACGTCCTCTAAAGAGCATATAAATCCATCATTTAAGCCACGCAGGCCGGTTACACTGCCTGTTAGTTTGTGTACAGGGTGCTGTTTAGAGTTCTTATATCACATCCTTGTCACACTTCCTGCCTGGAGTGACAGCCACAGATCAGAAGGTGAAAGAGCATCTTCATTAATATCACGGAATTTGGGAAGCTTCCTGGACAGGTTCATTGTCGCTGTTGAAAAAATCACTAGTTAGGTTTGTTGAACTGTCATGGTGATCTGTGTTTCATGTTTGGTCCTCATTCCTCTTGAAAATAAACTTTTGTCACCTTTTTTTTTCTCTTATAAA